TTAAAATTTTACTTGATATGTAAATTTTGATATATAAAATAGTATTTAATAAAAGTCTTTTTGGCTCTAATTATAGTTGTTAAAGCTATATTTATTAAGTTTAAAAATAAAATTGCTTTATTGAAGGAGCAATTGTTAAAACAGATAATTTCAAAGCAAGTATTGTTGTCATAAATACTAAAATTACAAGCAGGAGAAATGTAATTCGTGACCTGGTGCAAGCAGTATAATTGTTAAAAATTGTAATTGTTAAAAACTGATAATATGATAGATCACATTACAAATATGGATATAAATCTGTATAAAATCTGAGAAATATGATTGGACGCGATCGATTTATAAAAAAAAAAAAATTGCGATCGATTCATTGTGATCGATTTTGTTATTGCTGCTAAACAGTTCCTTCTACTGATCAATGTAAGCAACACACTAGTTGCTCTTGTATTTTTATCAACTTGTTATAGCTTTTGCTTGATATATATATCTGTTTTTTTTTATTTTATATTTTATGCGACCATTTAACAGCCAGCTTTAACTTTGTCGATTCCCAGCCTTTCAACTATCGATTCACAGCCAACCACAAGTTTTAAATTCTATAGCCACAGATAAGCAATGCTTTGTTGACTGTATATGCTGTTGCTATTATTTTATTACTATTAGTATTAACTGTAACCTTTGTTTTCATTTTCCAGTTTTTCAACCACAGCTGCAATTGATTACAAGTCTTTAGCTTATATCATAAACAAGTAAGCAACATTTATCAATGCTGTAATGCCCTGTTGTTACTTTATTGTTGCCAGTATTGATTATAACACTATTAAATTAGTATGAACCAGATCAACGAAAGTCATAAAGTTGCAAAAAACTATTGATTCTTTTCTGCAAAGGGTAAGTAAAGAAAATTTTAAATCGACATGCCCTTTATACATTGTATCGATTAAGTATACTGTGTGCCTCCAGAGAGTAACCCTGGACTAGTGCAGACAAGTCCATATCGATACAAGGTAGTGCTTGCAAGTGTCAATGCAGCATCAATGTTGTTACTAATAGGAAACCCTGAACTAGTGGCCTTTGCTGTGTCAATGCTGGGGTAGAAATAATGCAGCAAGGGTGCCTGTGTCTCCAGTGAGAAACCCTGGACTAGTGCAGGCAAGCTTCTTGTCGAACACTATTTAACTGTACTTAAGTTTTTAATTTTTAAAATTTTATTAATGTTAATATTTGCAGGTATCTTTTAACAAGAGAAAGTGGAATATTTATCCATGTGTATAACATATCTGGGTGATTATTTTCGAAGGCGGACAGGGTTTTTTTGGCACTATGATTGTGATCCTAAAATTTACATTGTGTACGCATTGTTCAAAGTAGGGGTCGAAAAAATCGTATCTAGCATTTTTGTTGCCTTCAAAAATAATTATCCATATACTGTAATGCATTTACGTATTGTATATAACTTTTTAGGTCATTCAACAATGTGTCAAATTTCTAACGGAAGCAAAGTCCAAAGTAGTGTACATTGGTTTTTGAAGGGAGGTTACGGTTCTATATCTGTATAATAATCACCCCACAGAGCTTTCAAGGCATCAATTGTTCCAAACACTGCACCAAGAATAGAATAAACCAACATGAAAACTATCCAACCCTTCTCCACTAGCCCTAATTTACTCCATCCGAACAATTTAAGCCACAGTAGAATTGGCACGATCACAAGCAACGCCCCGTTTCCAGCGGCTCCCAATAACTCCACCAGGTCCGCGGCGAACGGTACATTGATAGCCATATACACAGTAAAAGCTACGATTAACAGGCGCAAAATCGTGCGACAAGTAAATTCAACACGACTTTCAAGTTTTGATAATAAAATATATTCAATTTCCATGGAAAAGGAGGTTTGGTATATCGGCAAGGCCAAGAGAAGGTGAACGGTGATCATTATTATAGATATTGTTGCGGAGAAGCCGGGTGGAAGGGAGAGATACACGGGAGACTGAACAGACTGGCCGTAAGTTAGATAGGCAGGAATGCCGACTAGCAAATACATCACAGTGATTGCGAGGATGGAGAAGCTTAGGACTTTTGGCCATTCCTCTGGTTTTTCCATGCTTTAAGTGCCAGATGCATGAATTAATATAAAAATTAGTGTAGATGCGTGTTTAATAATTAAAATTATATTAACCTGGCTTCGATATGAGGAAACACGACATTGCCACCAAAACTGAAGGAGAAAGTGGCCATAGCAAAAGGAATTTTCGCCGGATTGACAAAGTCGTGTGGACGGGAGTCGTTGTTAGGATATTCAACAATGGAAGTGAGAAATACGGCGATCACGACAACGACTGTGGCGATTGCCCCAATTGTACTAGACAATGCATGGCAGTGATTGCATTAGCATTTACAGAAATTGTACGTACGAAAATTGAGGGCTAACTAATACCTCATGAGTGTGACTTCTTTTATTGTTTTGTGTAAAACGAGGGGAATACACGTAATGCTAGCGCAGATATAGATCCAGGTTTCCGTTTCAAGGTTGATTCCGACGGTAGCAAACAAAGCCTGAAGATTTTCGCTCGCAATCATAAGGAATAGAATGGAGCATCCGAAGCACAGAGAGTTAGAGAATAATCCGACGAGGAATGATCCTGATTCTCCAAATGCGCATCGTGCTACTTCAAACATTGAATTCATTCGTGTTCTATTGTTTTATGCACACGAGTACGTATATCAGAATAACATCACGCTAATCGCAAAAGCATAAAGAAAAATTCGTGCAAAGTACATGTTACAATATAAACAATTTATCAATTTAATATTGGCGTAGACAGTCATTATCGCCGAGAGAATCAGATTGATCACAGAAATCCATCCTCCTAGTCGAATAGCATACGGAATGACGAGAATTCCCGACCCAGCTACTATACATCTTGAAAAACAACAATTATCATATCAGTAAGGTGCCTTTTCTTTTTAATGTCTCGGGTGCAACCTACATGATATTTACGAATGCGAAGAAATTCGGACTTGTGCCACGTGACTTTTTTTTTTGTGCCTCTAGTTCGCAAGAGTCACGTAACGTGATATTGGGTGACGTGTGACCACATTCATCACGTGACTTAAATAACGACTCTGTGCCATACGTTGTTGTCTCATTTTTTGCCATGATCGAAAAAAACAGAGAAACCTAACTCAAAAATAATAACGAGAGCTCAACTTTTTATAGTAAAACAAAATCATTTGAGGGATCAAAAGAGGCCATTCCATGCGAGATACCCCATCTTATGGGCATAAAGGAAAGCTCCTTTGCGCGTGATCAATGTCATTGAAACACGGGACTCGAGAATTGAATCACGCGAATCAAGATTCATGCATGTCATGATAAGCGATAACCCATTGGGGGAAGCTAATGAGTTTCCCAGATCAACCTATTCATATATTTAAACAATGACACAAATGATGTGCAATCGGATAATTCATTTTTTGTAGCACCAATTTCAAGGAAATTCTTGTCAAATGACATTTCCATTTTAGGTTAAACTATCTTTATGCTTTAGGCTCAACAATAGAAATTTGTTTATGGATCCAAAAAGTTCATTGTTTCGAGGCAGACCAATAACAATAATAACAGTAATCTGGATATGAATTACTCAATCAGGACAGAATGAATGACTCATGTGGAATCAAGGTCAGAAGAAAGTGATTGGAATGTATTTCCTAACACAGGCGCGAAATGCAACTATCATTTATAGTAATTTTGAATAACACGATCAGATCATTCCAACTTCTTTGAATATTTGTTGCTACGAACAAGGCTGACCGCCTCCTGTATAAAATTCTTCTCTTGCCAATACCTAAAAGAATTGCAAGTCGAATTAAGGTAGGAATAAATAAATAACAAATATCTCATCTCTCTTTTTGTTTAAAGAAAAAGGATACGTTATCCCCGCGGCAACTACACCACATATGCATCCAATACCAATATGCTTTACTTTAGCATCTAATGTTTCCCATCCGATATATTGATTCGACAAGAAAGTTACCATCCAACTAGACGCAAAGGCTACCCACACTAGCGGCCTGGGAAAGATATTTGAAATCGATAACATCCGATGCAATTCGCCTGTATTTGTCTTGGAGCCATCTCGACCTTTCAAAAAGTATGCCCTGATAAATCGCCAGCTCCATGAAATACGTGTCGATAGATTGAACGCACTTGCCGCAACTAATCCGACGGCACCGGCTGACAGTATTCTCATGAACAACACTCCGGCTCCAATGAACCCTGCTGAAAATGCTATCAGCCAATAATTCAATGTATCGAGCGTTTCTTCTGTCGCCACCGCTGCCACGAAAGCTTCTGTAATAC